AGATAGATAGATAGATAGATAGATAGATAGATAGATAGATAGATAGATAGATAGATAGATAGATAGATAGATAGATAGATAGATAGATAGATAGATAGATAGATAGATAGATAGATAGATAGATAGATAGATAGATAGATAGATAGATAGATAGATAGATAGATAGATAGATAGACTGATTTCAAAAAGACCTGAAGCTCTCAACCTTGACGTCTCTAAGTGGTTTTAAACATCTGGGAAGTTCCTGGCAAAAACCAATGCTGACATGTTCTTGTTTTTAGTTTTCTACACCGCCTTACAATCTAGCTGTCTTTTCACTACTTTTCCTTGTAATTATCCTTTTTAATTACAATTTTATTTTCACTTGGTTTTTTTTATTAGTACGCATCCTTTATGATTGTCTATTGTTGTCATTGTTGTCCACTGTTGTCATCATTCTTTGTTAAATCAGGTCTCTCTTGTAAATGAGTCCCCGAGGTTCAATGGGATTAACCTGTATAAATAAAGGTTGATTGAAAAGGAGAGAACATGCAAACTCCACCCAGAAAGCCCCCCGGACCAGGATTTGAACCAGGGTAACCTGCTCACTGAGAAGCAGCAGCTCAACCATCTGCACCACCGTGCTGAATTCAATGCACTTTTTATGCTGATTTCCAGTTAGTTATTTTTCTCCTTGGTGCTTCTTTAGTCATAAAAAAAAAAAATCACAATAAATAATTCTTACAGTTTTAACTGCAGGTTTTCCTCTTCCTTTGGGTTATTGTAAGACATAAGACAGCAGGAATCATCCCGAAAGACTGAGCTCCAATTCAAAGTAAGTAAATTCAAACTTGACCTGAATCCTGCACCCTGTTATCTCCCCCAAAATGTCAAGCACCTCAATACGCTGATCAGGGCATAAAAGTACTTATATATATATATTATGTCCTTGAGTCCCAGAGATTAGAATTTCCATTCCAAGCTAAAAAAAAAAAAAGAAAAAAAAAAGCAGCTTGTAGAAAAGCAAACATCACATGCTGAGCACAGAAAACTGGAAAGGTTACTGAGTCTTATCTGCCACAGAGACTGGCCAAAGCTGAGCTCGTTGCTACAAAGAGAATCGACAATGCCTTGATGATGCTCACAGCGTTCCCCTCTCATTTGCAGATATGTAGCAGCACATCCTAGAGGAGAATCCAGGCAGGAACAGCTGACTACACACAACTCACACCTTGTCAAGTAGTGAATTATGAATGCAGGCAATTAAAATTTAAATCACTCCCTTTAGTAAAAAAATAATAAAAAAAAGATAGGTTTGGCAAGTTAGCAAGTTTTTTTATTTAAGTTTGGATTTTCTTCAGGAGTGTGTAAGCTGTATAGGAGGAGGTTTGCTTATAAAACTGGTTTAATTACACCCAAAGCTTTTCGTGTTCAGTTTTATTTCATGTCTGAGAAAGAAAAACAACTGTGAGAAGCCTCAGTCTCTTTGGCCCTCTTCTTTTGGCAGGTTATCTGACACGGAGCTGCTTAAGATGTTGACAACTCCACTTCTGTGCTCATTGTGTCAATAATTCCACTTTCAGAGGCAGTTTTGGTTTGTGTTTTTTTTTTTACAGGAAGAAAGAATCCTGGAACATGAACCAGATTTGTTTCATAGGTCACGCAGAAAAAAACAAAAGAAACATCCTGCTGTTTTATTTATTTCCATCAACGCTCGGAGATATAAATAGTTCCGTTTAAAAATAATGGCTTTCATCTTCAATTATACATCTGAATATTCAACATGAGAGCAACGGTGCCCCCTTGTGTAAAGTATAATTACTAGTTTGATAGTAAAATGAATTAAAGGTAGATTTGAATGCAAACTGATAGTAGGGACACAGCAAAAGCTTCAAATCACAAGTGTTTTAGGCATTTGAATCCACACTCAGATGTTTTTTACTCCAGTAAACATGGATGAATCCTCTCTGGGGTAAAGGCGTTTCTTCAGTTTGTCTTCGGCCTCTGCGCTTCATGATGAGATGCAGGTCTATCCTCCGCTCTCAGAGCTCTCTGCACACTGCACCAGTCTCGGCTCAGTTAGCTGCTCGTAGGACAGCGCTGTCATCACCTGTGAAAAACCGACAGTGTGGCTTCAGAGAACAGAAAGTGCAGAGTAATCCGTGCAGCTTCGTGCTGAGCTCAGGATGTTGCAGCTGTAACAGCCAGAGGCTTCTGCTTTCATCAGCCCATATGGACACAGAGACTGTTATCAACGTGTCGTAACTACTGAATGACTTGGGGTTTGTTTGAAAATTCAAGATCATGTGATTATGATGACCTGCAAAACGTTAACCTCCTTGGTATTTCTATCAGGGTTGAGTCAGGTCCTCTGGACGGGTTCTCCTTTGTTGAAACATTTCATCTTTTATTCTAAAGACTTCTTCATTCTGAGGAGCTGCAACAAACTCAGTCTTATAAATAGCACCTTCACATAGTGGATCTGAGACATCCAAAACTAGATGTTCACATGATAAATGAGGACCATCAGCCTAACAATTGCCTAACAAATGGCTGCTTGCTATTCACAGAGGGCTGAGTGATATTAGCAATAACAGCATTAAGAGGGGGACCACAACGAGAGGGTTCTCTTCACTTTAAAGATGGCCTCCTTCACTCCTCTCTCAAACTAGCATTCCTCTCTATCAAGGATGTGAACATCGTCATCCCTGAAGAGTGACCAGTGGCCTGCAGATGAGAGTAAACTGCAGTGCCCTGATGACATTGCTCTTTAATTAGAAGACTTCTAATTAGAAATGAATTGTATCATTATCCTCAAAATTCTCTTTTTATGATACTGAACACATACTCAGGATGCTCTTCTAAATTAATGCATTTTTCTCCCTTTATCAAAAGTCTACCCAGAAATAATATGAATAAAAAAAGGCTGAATGCCTCACCAGTAGGTGGTGAGGACGTCCACGTTAACAACTAAAACCACAAACGAACAAAATATTATTTCTGAAAAGAATTGTTGTGTGAATGTGTTAAAATATTCTGCAAACAGGAGAAGCTTTCCTTCTTTGTTTCCCTTCACTGTTCTACATCTTTAACCTTTTCAGCAGGTGATGAACGTTTAATGGTGACATGGTGAGAATAAAAGAAGACACACAGACATAGCATCATGGTTTCGACAGAGCTCAGTTTCTCAGATTTACATGAACGCATCAAACTGAGTTTATAAAAGTCCCCACTTGGAAAAGTTTAGTTTATGTCAGTCGTCACTAAAAGCTCCGTTTGCCTGGAAATGACAGAGAGAACATGTGAGCCTGTGTTGTTGGATGATGAAACACATATTTCATCCATCTATCCATCCGTTCGTCTGTCCATCCATCCATACATCTGTCCATTCATACAGCCATACATCCTCCCATCCATCTGTCCATCCATCAATCCATCCATTCATCCATCAATCCATCAGTCCATGCATACATACATAAATCCTTCCATCTGTATGTCCATGTATCCATCCATCCATCATCCATCCATTCAT